AACTTGATCGCAGACTCGGGGCCGATTTTGATGACATTGATGCCGTTGCCTCTCCACAGCGACCTGACACCCCCCTCACGGATCATCTGGGTGAAGCCCCCAGAGATGTGCATGCTGTTGCTCTTGGAGGCGTGAACCTGAGCGCGCACACACACACACACACACACACACGTCTGTTAAGTTTGTCCATCTGAGCGTCAACAGCCCTCGTCCTCGTCTCTGTTACCTGCATGAGAACTTTCAGCCTGTCCAGTGGAGCTGTGCAGGTTCGAGACACCGCTCCAGCTCCTCCACCAGCCACTAGGTGTCGCCACCACATTCCAGTTTTCTTCTCTTCTGCCGTGAACTCATCAGGAACCGTTAAACTCTCACCGACGTCAAAGATCTGTGGAGGAAACACGGGATCCATGATCTCACTGTGACACCGATGCAACGACAGCGTGAGCGACTTGACATTTTTAATATTGAAACGATGACGATGTCTTTATATTTGACAGCAGAACCAGAAGTGAGGATGAGGACTGCTGCAGGAGGACGAGGAGTTTGTACCGTGGAGTGTTTCCAGTAGAGGATGATCTCAGGAATGTTTCCTGCTGGATGCAGGAGGTGATAATCTCGCCACTCGTTCCAGTCAATCGTCATGGTTCCATTTTTATCCATACTGTGGATGGAGATCACAGACCGTCATGAACGTGAACGTTTCCACCAGCGCGGAAAACAAACTGCTCACATGCACGGTTACGTCTCAGTAACAGTGTTTGTGACTTTTAATGTATTTCTCCCTTGAAAACAAAGAGCTGTAGCCTGGATGAGACGAAGCAGTGGTGACTGGTGCAGCTTCAGCAGACGATAGAAACCACTACTTACTACAAGACAGGGGTCCAGGCATGACCCCTCCTTATTCTGAGACCAGCCAGAGAGAGGGAGACACACACGGTTAGAAGAACAAGACACAACACATCACAATGAACCACAACGTGAGTCAGTAGGAAACCTGGGGGACGATGAGGACAGACGAGCCGAAATAAACACGTGTGGGTCCATGTGAGAAAACGTGTGGATGAGGTTTCTAACACGTGACAGACGTGAAACTGGAAGAACACTCAGGATGAAGAAGAGGAGCCGCACACGTAGAAGACGAAGACATCGACTTGGAAAAACGAGGAGATTCCAGATGTTTTGGTGATGAGGGCCGAACACATGTAATCGGGTCACCTGAGACACCAGCTGTGAACCATCGGACGATGAGCACACGCGTGTTTTAGAGACTGAACAGCATCACTCTCACCTTCTGAGAATCTTCTCCGCCTGTTCCTCAGAGATGTTCACGCCCAGGTCTCGCAGAGACTGCATTATTTCCTGTGAGTCGATGTGACCTAAAGCACAGAAGTTCATAATTGAATGAATCACTGAATAGGACGCTTTAGTATAAAAACATCCAGATGAAGTCCTCTCGGAGAGTACAGATAAAGAACTAAAGCCACAGGATGATTTCACCATGAAGAAGAGTTTGATCCCAGCGTCTGAATCTTAACCAGAGTCCTCACCATCGTTCTTCTTGTCCAGACTCTTAAAGACGAGCCGGAGTTTCTTCTCATGGTCTCTGAGATAATGAACAAACTCCTCAAAGTCCAACTGTCCGTCCAGGTCTTTGTCCCCGGCTTTCACTATTTTCTGTAAAGACAGAAGAGACAGGAGAACATGAACATGAACATTAAATACAGTAAATCATATTCAGTTATATTAGATATATATTATATTGTTTAACAGGAATGTCCCTCAGCTCATCTCCTTATTTATGAAACTATATTTAAATTCCCAAGATCCAGGTTTTATTGATCATAAATATCAAACACGTCAGGTTTTTCCCATCAAGATGAATTATTCTCTGGAAACCAACGAAAATGTAAAAAAAGAAACGTTCTATCTATAATGTTTAAGAAAATGAAAATCCCTGGATATTAAATTTAAGGAGTTCTTCCCTGAACTTGACCTCGTCCTCCCTCCAAGTCTCCTGCTGACCAGTTAGCTGGTTTGTGTAATCCAGCTAGATAACAGACAAACACAGATGTTCATGTCCTTCTTGGCCGAGGTGATGACTGTTATTAAGAACAGTCCGTAAGCTGCGGTGTGACAAACAGCCGAGGTCAGAGCCTCCGTCATCTCGTTCCATCTGTGTACTGTTGACTCAACCCGCAGCTCAGACACTTAACAGCCTCACATCAGGTTATCAGAGCATCCAGGGCTCTCTGCTCATATCAGCTGCCAGAGGAGTCCAGTTATCTGGAACACGAACACACAGGAGACGTCCAACAGAGGGGAGGAACCTGTTTGTCTTACACAGAGTGAAACTGAGCAATAAGAAGCTGAATGATCGAGGCGAGTGAGACCGTCTCCACTGAGACAGACTCGATGTGTTTTTATAAATCCACCAGAACATCAGTCGAGCTCAATGACTCTGCATCGAATCGCACACTCGTTAATATCAGTCCTCTTAAAACTTCAGAGTTTTATCCTGTGAAGAAATGAAACTAAAGTTTGTCTGTAGATAGAGAAGATAAAAGAGTCCAGCAGACACACTGAGTCACCAGGAAGCAGAGGAGCTGAAGCTGTCGGTGGAACAGGAAGTTCTTCCCTGAAGCTCAAGAGCACGGGACAAACAGCTTCGGAGCCGCCGCCTGAAACCTGTCTTCTGTGTAACGACCAGCAGGGGGCGACTCCTCTGGTGCTTTCTATAGAACTTGACTTGGCAGCAAAGATGATCACGTGGTCGTGCGGACGAAGCCTGAGACGACTGCGTGTGAGGTCACTGCTGTAAAGTCGATCTAAGACGTGACGAGTTTAACCCCCCCCCCCCAGTGAATCAGTGGAGGACGCTCTGTTGTGTCCTCACTTCTCCTGGATCTAGACTTTATACAGGAGTGAAGGAGGAGACAGACAGACTGAGACTCACTGTCCTCCAGAGAAGATCCAGAGAACCGAGGAGGACGTCCACTCAATACTCTACCTGTCCTGCAGGTGGCTCCACCATGATTAATGCTGCGGTCTTCTCAGTAACCTCACTGCTGCCGGTTTCTTTCCTGTGGGACGAGTCTGCAGTCGCTCCCTGAGGAGAAGCGTCCACGTCCCTGCAGTGCTCTGGAGTTTGTTTCTCTGCTGGCAGCGGTGAGTCGGCAGGTTTGCACTCTGTGCTGCCACAGAGTCTCTGACTCAGCAACCTCAACATGTTCTGCAGCATCCTGGGAGCTCGCTGCCTCTGGGTGACTCTTCTACTCAAACACGACCACGTCACACGGGCAGCTGAACTCCGAGCAGAGGTGCAGAGGAGTCAGCTGAGGACATGATCCAGCAGCGTCTCGTCTCCTCGCTGGAGCTTTTTAAATCCAGCCTGACCCACGAGTGGTTCCGTGCGTCTCACACGGTCGAGATGTGCATGAAGTGATGCAGCAGATTCTCCAGAAACCTGCAGCCTCACTGCAGCTGAGCCCCGACCAATCACTGCAGCCGACACCGGCATGGGACCAGCCCCTCAGCCAATCCAGGGCCGAGCAGCACCGAGGAGGAGGAGGAGGAGGAGGAGGAGGGAGAAGTGGAGGGTTTCCCTCTGTCACACCTCCCTCACTGGAAGAAATCTGCTGAGTGATGCTCCCTCCCTCCCTCCCTCCCTCTGCTTAGTCAGCATCCAGCCGTGAGTCCACCCCCCCCCCCGACCATCATCACATTCTCTCCATGTCTCGTCTTCCTCCTGGAAAACTAAAGTGTGATGCAACAAAGCTCTTCATTCACGATGACGTCACGAGCTTTGATCAGGAAACACTGATGGATCAGCTCCTCTCGTCCTCTTTCCAGATGAGCTCACTGAGGACAAGTCGTCTCGTCCAGTGAGTGAAGACTCCAGAGGAGACACACACTCTGATAGAGACGTCTCAGTGAGGCGAACCAAGACCTCGTCCTGAGCTCTGTGTGTCTGTGTGTGTCTGTCTGTGTGTG